TCTTTTATATTAATGAAGTCATTTTTTATTTTTGAATAAGAAATTAAAAAAGTTTCTATAATCATTATTGATTATATATAGAATTATTATAAATTACTTGATCGGAAGTCTTTAAAAAAATCAAAAAAAAAAAGTTTTTTTTTTTTTTATAAAGAATATAACTACGAATCATGATAGAATGATATTTAAAGTAAAGATTCTTAGCGCCATCTCCATCTATTATGTTTTTTTTTGCCCGGATTGAGGAAAAAGAAAAAACTAAATCAGTAATTTTCTGTCATGAAATTATTTACTAAAAGTAAGATATAATATATAGAAACATCTATCATGCATTCATGATTATCATGACATATCATCGAAATCATATAAATAGTTAGATCCATCTATAATCAGTAGTTCTCTAATGTTAAGAGTATAGTAATTATGAAACTTTTCTTTTAGTATAAGTTATTCGTTACTGTTATTGTAATAATTAGGATTTATATTTAACGTATGAATTTAGTCAAACATCTTTATATAGATGAGTATTGATGCATATATAATTTTTTATTTTTGTTTCACCATTAATAATGTATGCAATGGAGTGTTTCATAGTTACTCATCAATTTTACTGATAGAATTCTGTAAAAATGATTTCTATGTTTGTTTTTTTTCTTAGTATCTGCTAATAAATGCAATTTATTTCAATAGTTCTATTATATTAAGACTAGATTTATAACTATTATTTTTACAAAAATAATGTCTCTCATCAAACTGAATAAACTTAATTAATCCTATAGGTCTACTTCATCATATCGAGTGTTCCAAATATAAAGATGAATGACAAGTAAAACCTGATGTTCCTTGTTTTTTTTTTGATGAAAAACAAAGTTGCGCGTACATTTCTCATTTCACTCAATACTAAGATGACATTCTTTTTTTTTTTTATTACGCAGAATTATATTCATGCAAGTCGACTTTGTACGAATCCTTACTATACATAAAAGTTTATAATAAAAGATAAACAAGAAAACAGAAAAAAAAACTCATCGTTTGCTTGTTTGTCAGGAAAAAAGAAAATGAAATTTCGTCATAATTTATTTTTCTTTTTTTTTAGAATATATAATAAATAAATAGTTGACGCACTTATATTGAAAATTTTTCTATGGTCATGTTATACAATTTGAACAATTCTATCAGATTACAATTAATATGATTGATTAGAAATAAAATTTAATATTTGTTATCAATTTACAATTTATAATATAAGTGTACTAAATGTATATGTGATCTTATCAATGTTAAAGTTACCCTTTGGATAAGATCATCTTCATAATATGTGATTACTTGAAGTACACAATAAAGGTCAAAACAATTTTTACAAAGAAGATTTTTTTAGTAATATAATCTGAGTTATTTTTTTTATCTATATTGTGAAAAAAAAATGATCAAAGTAAATGTATTCTGTTTATTTCTATTCGTTTAAAATAGAACAAAAAGAAAAAAGATTATCATGCAACACATATATATATATTATTCATAATACCATATAAAAAGAAACGATTTTACCGCTTCAAATCATTTATCTCGTGTGAGCATAGTTTTTAAAATTATAGGAAAAAAAAAATCTTTCAACTACAGTAGAATTCAGATTCATTTAAACTTTTTCTATAGATTTCCAATCATTAGATTATTAGTAACAAAATAGCAAAGAAAAAACAAAGATTTTTCGATCTAAGAAAAGTATATTTAACTATATTCTAATATTCCTAAAAGTTTCAGGCAAAAATGATTACTCCGTTATTGAAATTAAAACTTTCGATTTTTCATCAGTGTATATTTTTGCAAGAAAACAGACATTTTATTATTATTCTATCCTATGGTAATAATTCAAGAAAACTGTTGTAAGTCTATAGATAAAACCGTATTAGTTATACTTATTGGTTAATTGCATATGTAGCCTAGGGAATTCTGTCCATGTACTCGAAACTATAAGATCAAAATCTATGTAACAAGTTCGAGTAATTCTCTCATGAGATTTCAAATTTAAGCGTAATATAATTATATATTTTCTAACGGAAATGAACAAATAATTAGTTCATGCTTAGAAAATTGATCATAATATAAAACAAAAAAAAAGAGATTAGATTGAAATTCTAATCTATTTTCCTCAAGTTCTTTGACTTTTGTATCTTGTTTTACTTGACGATAAGAGAAACAACAACAACAACAAAAAAATACATAGTACATAGCAGATAGTATGCAATATATGACAAATTCTTTTATCTATGAGATATGTGGTATATATATATTCTTTCGTAAACCATTAGGTTTGTTTATATGTTGGCATCTTAACTCAAATACTACAAATAACACGAATCTTGATTGTATAAAGATAGAAAATCCATTGATAAAATATCATGTAGTCATGTAAGTAAATATCGGAAGATGAGAATAAGTACATTTGTAATTAGAGCTTGGTTTTCAATGAAAATTTATTATTCTATTCTAGCTGTGTCATGTCATATAATATATTATAATATTCTTTTATATTTTTTTCGTCGCAAAAAAAAAAAAGAATATCGTCACATGTTGTTTCTTTCTATATTAATATGATAACAATAAAGTACATTGATATTATTCACTTAAAAAATCATCGACATTGTTTAGTGTAGAATAGAACAATAAATATATATATTTTTTTTTTCGTAATATCAAAAATAACTATACAAAGACAGACAATTGCACATGTTTTTTAATTGTAGATATTCGCTTAAATGTATAGTAGTAATTCCAATGATTTCCTTTCAGACATAATATCAGTCATTTTGTATTTTAGTATTAACATAGGTGAAAAACAAATATTAAACGATGAGAAAATATTTATTTATGATGTTTATCTTATGTATTGAAGTAGTAAGATATTTTCAGCAATTGCAGAATGTCTACTAAGCAGAATTTAGAATTTTGTGGACTTGTATATTTTTTTTAACGATCTAAATTCTTCATTAGAATTTTTCCTCTCTCTATGAGCTATACCATTCTAGTATGTCTATTGAAAGATTATATTGTCTTAGTGGTATCTGATATGCTTATAAAAAGTTTGTATTCTTTTACTTGTAAGACAATTTCGTTTAAATTCTGCTTATATTTTAATTTTCTTCACGAGAAGTTTATTCCTGGTAAATATATACTCACTCCTCGTATGACTAGTGAAACTTTGTATTCTATTACTTGTAGCAGAATTCTGTTTAAATTCTGCTTGCATTATTAAATTCTTTACTAGATTTTCATTGCTGGCGGATATATACACTTGTGGTATGCCTATTGAAAGTTTGTATTCATTCGGAATCCATGGTTTACCGATTGGAATTTTAAATTCTGAATTCTGCAGTCCCTCGTGTTATTAAACATGTAATCATTATTTTTGCAACTTTTTTTCCTGTTAAGTATTATATTAAATGAGACAGTAATTTTAAAAATATTCTTAACATTGTTTACAAAGATTCATATTCTTCAATAGTCTATTAAAGATATTTTTCTTGTAGATTATTTCCTGTGCTTCAAAAGCAAAAGTTTTGTTTTTTTTTGTTGTTGATGTTCTTTGCTTTGAAATAAATTAAGAAAGAGGAGAAACTAAAATAGACTTCATGTTTTATTTCAGATATCATAAAGTTATTTTTTTAACATTTGACCTTTACTTCATATATTGACATAAGACCTTAGAGTGTCTATTGAACTTACGTGCCACTTATTCATGTAAAATATTTTTTTACTTAAATGACATTTGCGACATATGGTGTCATCATTAGCATATAACCAGCATCTAGTGCTTTAGTCAATTGCTTTATAATATAAGTAAGAAAACTTCGCAGATACAATTTATTAATTTGTAAAATGTTTAATAGTAAGTAGGTTAGAATTGAGATGTCTAGCTTTCGATCCGGGTATGTGCTCATGACAAATAAGTTTTCTATTAATACATTAGATCAAAAAATGTCCGCAAAGTATCAACTCGTCAATGCTCATAAAGCTGTTTTTTTTAAAGAAGAGTTTATATAAGGATTGGTTCAAGATGCTTTTTCTTCCTTGATGATCGAATAATAAAGAAAAAAGAACAGAAAAAAAAATTTCCTTTTCTCAATCTACATTTGTTCTAATCCATTCTTGACATCCTACATGAATTATTTTTTCTTTGTTTGGTTTCTATATAAGAGTAAAAATTTTTTAAATTTATTTTATGATTGAAAGAATAATAATAATAATAATTCTATGAGTGAACATTCATTTTTTTTTTTACAATTGATGAGTGTATAAGTGATTTTGTCATGTTTACGAAAAGATTTTATGGTTTAAAGGTAACAAAAAAAAAAATAACTGTGATATATTAATATTGCGTCTATCGAATTCAAAATCATTATATTATTTCGAATAATAATGTTTAACAATGATATTTTTAAATAACAATAGACACGTAATAAATCAAAAAAAAACGATTGGCTTTGTAACATATTATCATTCTTATATTTATTTTACCTTTAATTAAAAAACGTTAATTATCACTTTCAAATAGGTTTATAAAGAAGTATCCTGACTGAGACTGAGCGTCAAATTTTGAAAAAACTTTTATTTTATTTTTCTCACCGATTTTTAGAAAAATCACGTAGATGTCCTCGTCCAAAAATAAAACAGCTGGGGCCAAAACATTCTTGAGTCATCGACCCTTACTATTCACCTCAAACCTTGACGGATTGAAAATACACGTGAGTCTAAGTACAAACATATTTTCTTTTTTTTTTTTTTTTGTAATGTCGTATTACGTTAAATAAGCGTAAATATATTAAAGAGAGAGAGAAAAATAATCTTGCATATAAAATACATAGTCAACGTAAATAATATTGACACGTTTTCTTTTCATCATTAGTGATGATCATCATCTTTTCTTTTTTATACGGATCATTGCTTACGTTGGACGTAATAATATGAAAAAGAAGAAGAAAAATATATATGTATAATTTTAGATGATGAAATATAAGTATACAGTTATTGTTCTTATTTTACATTTAATATTATCATGGACATATGCGCAAAATAATGAAACAATAAAATTGGGTGCTATTGCCAAACCAAAACCAAAAGGTATGTATAAAGTTTAGTTTTGTTGTTGTTGGATTGAAAGAGTCTAATAATAGTTCAATATGAAGTCTAGTAAGTTTTTTTTATTTTCTTAGATATTTCATTTTATTAATATGTAAATGAGAATGTTATAAATATGATGGAATAAAAAGTAATATAGATGAATTTGAATTTTGAAGATGATTGAAAATTTACTATTTAAATAATAACATAGATTCAATAAGAAATATTTGATAATAAAGTAATTATATTCAAAATTACAGTTTGTAGGATAGAAAAAAGAAAATTTCTCATAATTATTTATAGTCATATAGTGTAATATAATCAAGAGAGAAAATTCTTCTAAGATACAAAAGAAAAAGTCATGTTTACACTTCATGATTATAATTGTTCAATAATGATTTACAATTCAATGTGACAAAAGAATACATATATTTAGAAAAGCAATTTGTAATGATTTGAAAAGTATGAAATCAAATTTCTTTGACATATAAGTCCAAGAAAAACAAAAAAAGAATCTAATTACAATAATTTCATTTTTTCTACTAAGATTAAAATCATAATAGAATGACAAATAAAATTTGAAATAAATCATTGATCCATACTTTTTTTTTTGTTTTGTATAATTTGTTATTTTTTTACGAAGCCATATAATATCAGATTTTTATTCAAATTTACATGGTTTGTTTAAAAAAAAAGATAAAATCACTCACTATACACTTGATTAACCTATGATTAATTAAATATCATCAAGGTTATCATTATAATTAATGACAATTTATATGCATATATATCAGTAGTAAATCTTATAGAATCGATGATTTTTGACATTTAATTTCATTAAATTATCAAAATATAGTTGTTTCTCATTTTGTTTTTCTTTAGAATGGCACAAAATATTATAAAACATGAAAATTATCATATTCAGTTTCTTAGGCACTTTGCTATTATAAATTCATCATTAAAATTTTGCTATAGAAAACTTTATATCGTTTTGTCAATCATATATCACATAGCTATTTTTTTTCTGATTGGTCTAATTAATATCATAAATATAAACTTTGAAAACTCAGATTTTTTTTGCTTTTTTACTTGTCATTTTTCGATATAGAATAATTGTATAAGATGTTCTTTATTATTTTGTAATCAATATCTTTCTAAATTCATGTACATATTACCTTGTCATTCTATGACAGACAAATGTCAATATTAAAGATTCTTATCTTCGATATTCAAATTACATGTAGGTTATTAATCATTTAATTAGAAAATTATTAATTTTTCAAAAATTGAAAAAGAGAATTTAATCAAAATTAATAACTTAGTTGAAAACTTAAAAAATGAATTAAAACTAAATGTAGTTATGATAAATGAATAATTTCTATACAATCGATTAAGCTGTTCTTTTTTTTCTAATTATCTTAACTAAATGAATATATTCATGTTATATATTTATTGAACAGAGTATACTCATAAAAATCAATATTAGATTAACGATTCGAAAATATTTATTAAATTTTATCATATAAATATTTTCTTATAGTATGTGGTGATGTTCATATTACAATATTTGAAGTTCGTCGTGGTCTTGATATACATTTATATGCATCATGTGAAGTAATACTTGGTTCAATAATTTATGCTCCAATGCCTTTAACAACAAATACAACAGTAACACCAACTGTACCTGTTCGTTTTCCATATCTTCGTGAAGTTTATGGATATATGTTATTAGGTTATTCATTTGTACATTCATTTTCATCAATGTTTCCACGTTTATCAATTATACATGGTCGTGTATTATATCAAGGTTATGCATTAATTATAATGGAAAATTTACAATTAGATGAATTAGGTTTAACATCATTAATAAATATACGTCGAGGAAATATAATTATTGCACGAAATGCTCAATTATGTTATGCTAATTCTATACGTTGGAAAGATATTATTGAAGATACAAAAGCACAAGTTATATTAAGACAAAATCGTGATAATTGTGCTTTTTGTCCAACATGTCCATCGGCATGTTGGTCACCAACACAATGTCAACAACAATGTCCAGCACATTGTAAAGGAAATTGTTTATCAGAAACAATTTGTTGTCCAGAACAATGTGTTGGTGGTTGTTATTATCAAAATATAACAACATCAACAGATTTAATTTGTCATGCATGTAGAAATATGAGAATTTATGCAACAGGAAAATGTGTACAAAAATGTCCAACACATATGCTTAAAGTAAATAGAAAAAATTTTTCTATATTAATCTCTTAATTAGAGATAAGACTAAAAGATGACAAATTCATTTTGAAAAATTACTTCAAGAAAAAAATCCTAAGATTTATTTTAAATCCTTGGATTTATCTATTTATAGTATATAACAAATTTTAACTATATTAATAGAAAATAATAGACTCAAACAATCAACTGTCACCAAGGTTTAGTCACTCGTTCAAAATGTAGTTTTCACCTGCAATCGATGAAATTTAAATGATTTGAGTAGTTTCGTAATAAGAAAGAATCAGTCTTCTGACTTTGTCTCTACAGAAAACGAAAACTCTTTAGTAGTACTTCCAGAGATGCGGTAACAAAGCTGAATATTCGTTTGTGATTGTACTAACACATAGCGACTAATATCTTTAAATGTTCACCTTTCTGTTACGATCTTTCGTTTTATCTTAACAAAGCTCTTATTCAATGTACCAAAGTCCATTTTACAATTTTCTATAAACATGAAAAACGATAAATAAGAAATATGTTTTTTTTTATTAAAGGTAATTGATTCTTTATGTGTAACACGTCAAGAATGTACATCATTTTTTATGAGTTCTGGTTATGTATTAGATGCAACAAATGAATGTGTATCAGAATGTCCAAAAGGTTTTGATTTAATATTAGGTTCACATTGTGAACGTTGTATATCAACACCAGAAAATGATTATTGTCAAGGTGCATGTCGTGAACAACATATTCGTTCTATAAGTGATTTTAATGTATTAAAATATTGTTCACGTATTCATACATTAAATATATATAATATAGCTGCTGTTGAATCAACTGAAACAAATTTAATAGAAGCATTTAATGCATTTGAATCTCTTGAACAAATTGATCATGAATTTACTATACATAATGTTAATATATTTTCAACATTAAAAATTTTTTCTAAACTTAAACGTATTGGTATAACAACAAATGCTACAATAACAATTGAAGAAAATGATTTTTTAACTGAATTATGGCCATTATCACATCCACCACCAATTATACAAGGAAGTTTAAATATTGTTCGTAATGCTCGTCTTTGTTTAAAACGTATTGAAGAATTTATTAATTATACAAATACAAAAGAAACAGGTATTGAAAATTAATTAATTTAAATCTATCAAAAAAAAATTAATGTTTTTTTTTTTTTTGTCGATTTTGTTTAGATTTACAAATTACACCAAATACAAGAAATGAATATGCTAATGGATATTTAGCATCATGTGAATCAAATTTATTAACATTAACTGTTGATAGAATACGTTCATTAACAGCACAAGTTACTGTTGCTGTACCAAAAGAATTATTTTTTCGTTCAACTGGTAAAAATGATTATTTACGTCGACCATTTTTATCTGTTTATTATAAAGCAACACAAACAAGAAATGAAACACATTTTGATGCAACACAATCACATAAATGGTTAAGAATTGTTGAAAAAATTAATTATAATCCATCACCACATGGTAAAAATTTTCTTTTCATGATTTATTGTTGTTTTTTTAAGAATACTTGAGAAAATTTTTATTCTTGATAAGTCTTATCTATATATAAATATATCTGTATTTTTGTTCTTATCAACGATGTCAAGTTGATCTTGACGAAAGGATATAATTATTTAGATTAGAATTAGAGATGTCTGGAAATTATTTTTCATTCGAAATTGCGATAACGCTAGCTCGCGAGTTAACATTTTCAACTGATAAAACGCTTTTGAGTTCGAACTCTGTGCATAAGATAGACCCCATTGAGAGATTAAAAACCCTAAAAGGACAAGTACCCTTAGCCCTTCGGTTTAGAGTTATAGGCATTGTACTAGAATTTTAGCCTATGATACGATATATACCAACAAATTGAATGACGGTATTTTGACCTTAGATTTTGCCCATGGACAGATCTATTTATGAGTAGAATGCTCGGAAAATCTCAACTAAAAACAATGTTTCCTTCTCGAGATATTAAAGTCCTAAAAAAACAGAATATTCCAGTATCTTTTGTGAGATATGAGTGATTTTTGGGGTTTTAATATCTCGAGAAGGAAAGCTGAAATTTTCAGAACATTCTACTCACAAATAGACCTGTCCATGGGTAAAATCTAAGGTCGAAATACCGTCATTCGATTTGTTGGTATATATCGTGTTATACACTAAAATTCTAGTACAATGCCTATAACTCTAGACAAAAGGTCTAAGGGCACTTGTCCTTTTGGGGTTTTTAATATCTCACTGGGATCTATCTTATGCACAGAGTCCGAATTCAAAAGCGTTTTATCAGTTGAAAATGTTCACTCGTTAGTTATTCTCTTTTGATTTCAATAATTTCTTTTTTTACCTATAAATACTAAATAGTATTCTAATGAAAATCCTAAATTGATAAAAGTATCGAATTTCAATCTAAAAATTTTTGTACGTGTCAAAAATGTTGAACTACTTTTTTCTTGTTTGAAGTCATTGAACAACATTAATCTTAATTCGACGATATGCTTGTATAGTAAAGTTTGAGTACTCTATATATATCTGTTTATTACGATACATTTTTGAATATGAAATACACAAAAAACATCAGTGCTAAGGAGAGAAAAAAAATATGAAGGACTCTATTCCATTTGTTGATGTACTTAGAATTAAGAGAATGTGAATGTTTCTTTTATCATCGTTATGATTGAAGATATAGAGATTCATCATTAGTAAAAAATGATGTTGAATGATTGAAAAATCGCACAATAAATAAGAAATTTTTTTTTTCATGAATACTTTGGATTGATATCAAGAGAAACAATGATCGGTAACTAATCATGCTTTGAGTAAAAATAATCGTCTAACAGTAAATTGACTTTAGTTACTTCAAAGTCTTATGAAAAATAAGATTTTTATTTATATTTGAATGAAATTAATGTTGTGTAGTTTAAATACAAGACACCCAAAAAGCCAAGTCACTGCAAAATATGAAACAAGTCCTTTTTCATGGACAGTGTGTATGTACGAAATTTATGTTTTTGAAATTTTCATATCTCGAAGAGACTTTGTTCGAAACTTATGAATTGTTTTTATGGACATTAGTCTATTTGACTTCACTATACACCTAAAGTTTCAGATCAAAATTGAATAACTTAGTCAATTCAAATTCTTATAAGATTTTTATTAGGAAATTATATCGTATATATAGACAAAAACATTATTGAAATGAAGAAGAGATTGTCTTGTTAGTCTATGAAATAATAGTTAATCTTCGAACAAATTATTATGTATAATATAAACATCTAATTAGAAGAAAAGATTTTCATTTATATGAGTTAGTTTAATAACATAATTGGCTATAATAATTAATCTACATTTAAGAATAGCGTCGATCATAACTGATAAATTAATAAGAAAACTAATAATAAACTAGAAACGTCTATTTCAATATTTACAAACTAATCAATGTCAAAAGAAGAACATCCTTGCTTCTGAGCTATCTAACGATAGATTTAATAGCTTGCTATTAGCTTCTCATACACACAAACTAACCATAAGAGTAGATATATATATATATCACAACATAGCCATCATACTATTAGGCGGATAATTCGAGCAAATCTCTCTTAGTAATTTGCTCATGGTCATTTCATGGCTGATGATATTGACCTTTGCATATAGTACTTTGTTGATACATGTCGAACAATATAAACCATATAAATAAATACGAGTTATTTCTGGTTTGAAAACTCGGAAAAAAATGACAGGAATATTAACCTAAGATATTCAATCAATTACAACAACCGATTTATCAACATAATATATATAGAAACAAATGAATTTCTTTTTTTAGGTGGTTCATTTACAATGAATGTTGATTTAACATCACTTCTTGGTGCAACATGGTATGCTGTATATGCATCAGTAACTTCAAATGTTAATACAGTTGGTTTATATTCTACAATTGGTTATTTTCGTACATTACCACGTCAACCTGAACCTATACTTAATTTACGTGGTACAGGTTTATCTAGTTCAAGTATTAAATTAATGTGGCAACCACCATCAAAACCTAATGGTGAAATAGCTATATATCTTATTTATTATGCACCTATTGAAGATCGTTTACCAATAGATAATATTAAATTACTTTGTTTAATGAAAGGTACACATTTCAAAAAAAACAAAAAAAGAAAAAAAAAAAAACTTTTCTTTTTATTTAGATCGTTGGCATACGGAAGTACCTGTATCAAATACACCATTAAATTTAACTGATTCTTCACAATGTTCACGACAAATATCAAAATCTAATGATATTAATGAAGATATTGTTGATGAACATGAAGAAAATACTGGTATTGATCAAGTTGTTACTGATTTAGCTATAATTGAACATCAACTTATTAATTCAGTAACACAACGTAAAGATCCATTATTTATACGTCCAGATTTAAAAGATACAATTATTAATGATTTAGATCATTATTTTGAAGATAAAAGTAGTTCTATTAATGAACAATATAAAATTGATATATCAATTGAACAAAATCCTGTTGAACATATGCCATATTTAAATACATATAATCGTACATCATTTAATACAAATATTATTATTGATAGTTTAAAACATGCACAAATGTATATGTTTCAAATATATGCATGTCATGATATTATTAAACAAACAAAATCAAATGCATGTAGTTCAAATGGTATAATAATAAGTGTACGAACAAAAGCTGGTGATCGTATGTATTTCAATTATATTCTTATTATTTGAATTGTTTTTGTTTTTGTTTTTTGTTTTTATTAGCTTCACTTGATTTAGTACGTAATGTTACATTAATAACACCAATTGATAGATCTCAACAATTAAAATCCGATATGAAAACTGTTGATTATCATATAACATGGTTTGAACCATTATCACCAAATGGACTTATTTATTTTTATACAATAGTTATTGATCAAAATATTCATAATGGACCAAAAGATGAACGTTGTGTTGGAAATAATATACATTCAATTAATGTATCATTATTACCACGAACAAATTATCGTTTAAGAATAACAACATATACTATAGCAAGACTTAATAATGAATATGGTGATATAAAACAATTAAATGATGATTCATATTTATTAAATGCAACTAATTTATATTATCAAATATTTTTTACAACTATTGATTTACCTAGTAAGTTTGAATATTTAAGATTATTAATTTAAAAAGAATGAGTACTGCATATGCTATAGTTATATATAGGAAAGATGTTCATGAAGTTTTTTTTGACCGATTGAAAATTTCATTTAAACTAAATTTTCTATTATTAAGAGGCCCCATAAAAAAATTTTTTTTTTTCTGAGCATCTAATCTTGATGAAATTTTCAGCGGAGGTATATCTTGGGCGAGGCACCTTACAGTAAAACTTTCAGCTCGATATATTGAGTGTACCAAGAGCTAGCTTAAACTTATGGGTCAAAATTTAGGTTTCCGTTCTTTCCAAATTTCTCCACCGCTTTAAATGCTAGAAAGTTCGGGTTGGTTTTAAAATGTAGCCCATATATGGTGCTACAACTTAACAGGGCCCGATTTTTTTTCCTAGCTTGTGTTTCTAGAAGACTTCTCTGGTAAGATACGGAAAACCCAGGAGATGTAGGTTCGGAACGGTTAGTTTTCAATAAACATTAAGGGTAAAATCAAAAAACCCGGCTCTGTTAAGTTGTAGAGCTAATTTTTATCTTCATTTTGACATCAAGCTCAGCTTTCTAGTGTTTAAAATGGCGGAGAAAACTGGGACGCACGGAAACGTAAAAATCAAAAATCCTATTTTGAGAAAAAAACCAAAAGTTTTTAGGAAAAACACTATTTTTCTCTATGAGAGGTTCAGAAAAGCCTATGTAATATCCTTAAAACTCATCATAATATCAATAAACTATAGTGCGTATACTTAGCTCTATCTAACGAGCTATGAATCACAAAATTGACTTTTTTTGTGGGGAGGGGGCTTAAAGATAAGAAAATTTTATAATTATTTAAAATACACAGAAAAGAAACAACTTTTGATTGATAATGAATCAAATAATTAACATATAGAATATGAATTAAATGAATTGTTTTTTTTTTTTCTCCTTAATTTTAGAACGTGAATTAAGTCGACAAAGTCGAATTATAATAGTTTTATTACTAACTGGTTCAATTTTTCTTTTATTAAGTATTATGTTTGGTGCACCATATTATTATTATAAATATGGTCGAAGTGATAATAAAGCTTCGATTTCAAAAAATCCAAATTATGGTTTGTTTGTTTTTTTTTTAATTATTTTTATGTCATTAATTTAACGTATTTTTCTTTTTGTATTACAATATTTAGAATTATATACACCAGATCAATGGGAAATTGATAAAGATTCAGTAACATTAAATAAACTTATAGGTCAAGGACATTTTGGTCAAGTTTATCAAGGTGTTATAAAATTATCTGATGGAACATTAAAACCATGTGCTGTTAAAGTAAAGAATTTATTTTTTTTTTTTGATTTTTAAATTTCTATTTTTATTTTAAAGATTCGAACAACACATCCAACAGATTTATTACAAGAAGCATCCATAATGAAGTTCGTTTTTTTTTTTTATTTTTTGTTTCTCTTATTTCTAAAAATTCAAATTCAACTGTATTTTAGACAATTTCAATGTTATCATGTTATTCAATTATATGGTATATGTTCACGTATTCGACCACCATATGTTGTTATGGAATTAATGGAAAATGGTGATTTAAAAAATTATCTTTATCGACATCGACAAAGTGAATTAACTGTATGAATTTATTTATTTATTTATTAAATAATATAAGTTATTTATGTATTTTTGTATTTTTAGCCAAATAGTCCAACATTAACTGAATCAGCTATGATTCAATTAGCATTAGATGTTGCTGATGGAATGTATTATTTATCTGATCAAAAATTTGTTCATAGAGATTTAGCGGCAAGAAATTGTCTTGTCAATGGAAATCATACATGTAAAGTTGGAGGTAATAAAGTTTTATTTTAATAGTTTTCAAAGATTAGAAGTAAATTTTTCATAGATAGATGTCAGTGCATATTCATATGAGTTATATATGGAAATATTTAAACACTAGATAGATATGAATTTCATATTCACATTCGAAGTATGTTGATACACAACACCTAGTCTAATGTATGATAGAATAAAAGAACATGACGACATCTTTTGTCATTCGGTAAAATATGGCCGTTTAGAATGTTTAGTAAAGGTAGATCTGAGTACTTGCATGCCACTTGAATCACTACTATCTGTCTGTATGTTTGTTTTATAAATTAAGAAGATTATAAATATTCGAGATAAAGTGAAGTTCTCATCATTAAACTAGCAAATTTAAAATATCGGTTGTAATTGGCATTTCTGTAACATATATTTTTTTGTCGTACACATATCGATCTTATGGAATTGCATAAGAAAAATTTTTCCTTATATTTAAATAAAATACTTATCATCTATTTAGATTTTGGTTTAACACGTGATATATATGAAACAGATTATTATCGACGTGGTGGTCGAAGTTTTCTTCCTATACGATGGATGGCACCCGAAAGTTTAAGAGATGGACGTTTTGATACTGTATCAGATGTTTGGTATATATATATATAACAGCAAACTTTCTTATTCAAATTAATTTAATTTAATAATTATAGGTCATATGGTGTTCTTCTATGGGAAATAGCAACATTAGCTGAACAACCATATCAAGGATATGGTAATGAAGAAGTTGTACATTATGTTCGATATGGAAATATAACACTTGAACGTCCACCAAATTGTCCTGAAATATTGTAAATACAAAAACAAAAACTTAATATATTAATCTAATTTTATTATATTTTAGACATAAATTAATGCGTGCTTGTTGGACATATTTACCTGTTGATCGTATATCATTTCGATCAATTGTTGATGAATTAGTTTTATATGAAAATGAAGATTTTCGTATACATGCTTATTATCATACACAACCAAATCTAACACGACAAGTTAGTTTAGTTGATAGTATTAATAATGATGATAATGATGATGAAGAACAAGATCTTTTATTAATGGGTAAAATCGATAGTGATAATAATGAACATAATATATAATTAAACAATTTTATTTCCGAAATCTATTTCATGTTTTTTTGGTTTTTTTGTTTATTGTTTTTGAATGAATCTCAAATTAATTTTTTTTTTAAATTGTTATTTTCTAAATATATATATATATACATAATATTGTACAAATATTTAAATATTAATTGAATTTTTTTTTATAGATGATTTTTTAAAATAATGGTGAATAGAGAAGAATCTAATGAAAGATTTGATCGATATGGATATGTTGTTCCATCAGAACCACTTAAGTAAGATAACAAAAAAAAAAAACTTATCTATTTTAATATATATTTTTTGTTTCTAGTTTTGAAGAAACATTAGATCCAATTGTTGTTCGTCGTCGAGAACAAAAATGGCTTGATATGTTTTCTCAATGGCCATTATTTATATCATCACGTTTTGATAAAGTTAAAAATCGTTGTCGAAAAGGTATACCACCATCTGTACGTGGACAAGCATGGTATCATTTATCAGCAGCTAAATATCGACAAAAAACTGAAGATCAAAATTGTTCAACAGGAAGTGTATATTCATATTATTTAACACAAGATTCTGATCCACGTGTACTTGATGATATTAAAAAAGATTTAGCTAGATCATTTCCTGATCATGAAATGTTTCGAGGTGATGCACTCGGGTAAAAGTTTATTTTATTATTCAATATACACTCAGCAAAAATTAAATGTTTTGTTTTTTTCTTGATTAGACAACACAGTTTATATGATGTACTTCGAGCATATGCTGTACATGATCCTGATGTTGGTTATTGTCAAGCTCAAGCACCTATTGCAGCTATTCTATTAATGCATTTACCACCTGAACAAGCTTTTTGGGTATTTGTTCAAATTAATGAAGAATATGTTAAAGGATATTTTAGTGATGGTTTACATGCTATTAAAGAAGATGCATTAGCAACTGAATTACTTATACAACGTATTTCACATAAAGGTTTTCGTTTACTTGTATGTATCTATTGTTTTTCGTGAAATTTTAAAGATAGATTGTAAATTTGAGTTTGTTTTGAATTCGATGGAGACAGAAAAAAAAACATTAGCTTTTATAAATAAACGTTTGTTAGTATCATCAATAAGAAAGATAGAATATCTATGAATTTCAGTTCAACATTTATTATAACTTTGTGCAATATCATAATTGATATCATAAAAATCATATTTATTTTATTTCGAATATAAATTCATTGTTTATTAAACTTTTTTTTTTAATTAAATTTAATACAAAGAAAACTATCATTTTATTATATTTTTTATTTCTTTTTAGCGTAAACTTGATGTTGATCCAATATTATATACAGTTGATTGGTATATGACATTATTTTCTCGAACATATCGTGCACCACAATTATATCGTTTATGGGATATGTTTTTTTGTGAAGGTGTTAAAGTATTATTTCGTTTAGCTCTTGTTATTGTATATGAAACTCTTGAAATTGGTCCATCTGATATTGTTCAACGAGCACATAATTGTGATAATCCTATGGATTTAGTTACACTGATAAAACAAACTGCTAAACAATTACCATTTGATGTATTATTATCTAAAATGGATAAACTTCCATTAACTGATATTCATCTTGCTCAAGCATGTAAACAAGCAAGACAACAACTTACTTTAGATACAGAAACAATGCAAAATCGAAAGTAATAACTATTATACGCATCTATTGAACAGGAAAGAAAAAAAAAAATTTTCTACTAGAAAGCTATTTTATTTGGTGTTTTTGTTGTATATATATACGCATTGTTTTGAATTTTTTATGTTTTTTTTCTTTTTTAAAATCGTTATATAAATTTCTAGATAATAAAGTAAAGCAAAATCATATAGTGTACTGTTTCTTCTAGGGGTTGACAAGCTCAGCTCAGTTCCGCTCAGAGAAACTGTTCGAACAGCTCTTTTGAGCTGTGTTCCCATAACAGAACACTTTTGTTCTGTTTTGAGAACATAGCTCAAACGAACCGGTTCACCAGTTCAGCTCAGCTCAACAGATCTGTTCAAACAGTTCCTCTGAGCGGAACTGAGCTGAGCTTGTCGACTCCTAGTCTCTTCAACAATGATATGAAGTAAAATATCAAAGATGAAAGGAATTGATTTTTTGTTTTCAAAGCGAAAGCGAAAAGTAGTCGATATTAGTCAGAGTTAAATTTATTCTTAGTTTTTGTGCTAGAATAAAGCTTTTTTTTTTAAAGACTGAGTACGTTAATCAATCTCACTACCTGGTTATTTTGTAACGGTAAAAAGAAAATATTTTTTTAATATTAGTTCTATGATATTCTTGCAGAAGACTGTCTTTTACAAAACTTCCATTTTTTACGAATCAGGAACAAATTTAAAGAATTTTGTCAAGGTTGATATCAATAGAGTTTTTGATGTGTTACATATTGGTGTGTTTTTGCTCTAATTTGACTCATTCATACAATTCAGAGATAAAGATTTTTCAATTTGAGAAAACATTACATAAACTTTTTTCTTTTGAGCGATATTTGATGTTGAACTTTTCCTAATCGTCAAGATCGTTCTGGCAGATATGTTTCTTACAACATTAAGTATTTCAAATATTGCTAATTTCAACAAAAACTTATTTGATTCAGAATCGGACAATATGGCATAACAGACTTTGGCATCTTTCTAAAGGCTTTCACATAGCATATTACAAGAAATATTCTTCATTTTAAATTTAAAATCAAACATGACTTACGAGAGAAGCCTTTCTACAATTGATTAATCGCTTTTGAATTGAGACTAGATGCATTGTATAGTCTCTCTAATGAACTATGAAAAAGTTTTCTACAGCTTATTGGATGTACGTATAGAGGTTAGAATGGCAGACGGTATTAGCATGATAAGAGCGCTGACACTTACACTGTCTGAAGAGTAAGATGTCACTTAAAAATTTCTTTATTTTTAATTATATCTATTACACACCGACAACTATATTATTGAAAACTTATTGTAGAACAGGAAGTGACTTTGAAATATACACAAAACTAAATATCTAATAGTCAAATATCAGGAATCAGATATTTTAATGAAAATTGGTAATAATTTAAGATTTTCCACTATCGCTAGTCATTGACAGTATAAGACATTGTTACAATAATCAAAACATGTATTGCATCGTTCTGGCAAACTACTTTAGGAACGTTCAGTTCTAAACAATTCTTTATTTAAATTTTTGACAGATGCTGAGATTCATGATTACTTGTCATTATTAGATTCCATTAGAATAGATAAACATCTATATATATATCATCGTAAAAGGACTGTCACACTCTACTCATAAGTCTATAGAAGTTTTTAAAAAAAAACATAGAATATACTTTCTTGTTATTAATAAATGTTTTAAAGATGACTGTACAAAACATACGAATACATTAGAAGTGAGCGAATCAAGTAATCTTTTTGCGTTTTCTGTTTATTTTGTATAAAGAACATTAACAACAAGTTTTTCATGAGATAATATCTTGTTCATAGTTATCATTCACAAACAAAAGAATAGCATAAAATCAATCCTATACAACATAAAATGAAACACCTACTACAACATTATCAACAAAATAAGGTTAGTACAGTCTAACTATTCTTATGTATACAATATGATAAAACAAAAAGATAAACTTAAAATTGTAATCTTATTATATTTTAAAATGCTAATATTAATTAATGAAAAAAATTAAAACAATATGATCTTATTAAAAGATTATCTAAAGAAAAAACATACATTCAAATAATATTTATATCACAGAAAGAGATAGATGAATTTTCTAGTAAAATTATTAAAAGATTTATATGAATTTTATTTGAAATGAATAACTTCAATTCTAATTGAATAATATTGATTTATTTTTATTGTAAAGAGATGTTTATTAAAATTATTTTTATCAAAATATAAAATAAATAAACAGTAATATTATTATTATTATTTATAAATAAATATATACAATGATTAAATTGTTTTTGTTTTTATTGTTGATGAAAAACTATTTAATCTCAATGAAATTTTAGGATTTAAATATGATAATGATGAATCATATCGTCTTATTAATCTTGGTGATCGACATTTTAATGAACTTGTTCGTGTTGATGCAACAAATATTGTTGGTAAACGTTTTGATCGATGATTAAATGTTATATAAATAAATGGATTAAGACCACTTTGTGCTAAACATATTGTTTGTAAAACTCCATCAAGCCATAATGGTATATGTAAATAACGATTTGTATAAATTTCAATTAATGTTAATACAATATAAGGTGTCCAACAAATAACAAATACAATAATTATTGTCATAGCTAATTTAACTGTTTTAAATTTTGCTGGAGATGTTAAAAATGTTGTTGTTTGACCATGAAATTTTTGCATCCAAATTTTTGTTGATGATGCAACAACACGTATTATTTTAATATACCATATTATCATACAAAAAGCTGGTATAATAAGTAAATAACAAGTAAATATAGTAAAATAAATTCGACGTTGCCATTCAGCTGTATAACCAGTACTACTACAACGATATTTATTTAAACTTCCTTTTATTAAACTTTGTTTAAATATAAATAATTGTGGTATAGCTGCTATTAATGAACATAACCAACATAAAATTATAATACGACGTACACGACGAAGTGCTGTACATGATCGAAATGGACAACATATTGCTTCATATCTTAATGTAAAGAAAACAAAAACTAATAGAAAAATGTTGTTGATTAATTGAATCATTATAACGAATGTGATGATTCAATGAAAAGAAATTTCTATATGATTTATGATAAGTAATTCTTTAGAGCTATTAGTACATGAAATAATGGAAAGTAGTACTCTTTTTTTATAAATCATAAAAGAATATTATCTACTTAAAGTTTAATATAATAGATAATGACATCAGATAAAAGCATTAGGAATTTAAGAGTAACATAATGACGTCAATATGTGTCTATTATATTTCTCAAAACAAACTAAAAATTTTTTTTCT